ATTCTATTTTACGCTACGATGATATCTGAGATTTTGGAAAACACGGAACAAAATCTTTTTCAAATTACAACTAGCGCCACCATTAGATAACACTTTTGAATAACTTTTCGCCAATAGTGTATTCTTCATAACTGTAATTTTCTTGCGATAAAATATAGGTCGTGTTACACCTCATCAGCAGGTTGTTTTATTAGCCACAGACTTGCCTGAGCATGGCGATCTCTGTAATCAGAGTGAGGGCTAAAATTTTTTGTAGTAATGTGCTTATCAGGAAAATAATCCCTTAATGTCGTCGTATTTTTATTCTATTTTGAGCATTCATTTCTTATGCACGAACAGAAGCCATAGAAGCTAATGGAAGCTGTGACTGCTGAAGGACCGTGTGTCTGAAGTGGGACCAAAATTTATCTCTGCTATTTTATGTTCCCGTGCCACAGCATGTCATTCATATTGTGTTTGACGAGGTGCTCAAAGAGATGTCACCTCGCTTGTGCCAGGTGTTTTGTCTTGTAAGAAACAAGAAAATCAGTGAAATATGAGCATTTACACATTGGTCATGTTGTTCTGGATGTACTGGGCAAGAATCCTAATATAACTAAAATATGGTCGGCTTGATTTATAGGGCCCAGTCACATCAACAGCAACTGTTGGCTGTGACAGCACATTGAAAACATGAGGCTGGATCCATCGTTCATCGGCTGGCCCTACGGCGCTTACTGGCTTAGCTGTTCATGGATGAACATGGTGTGCATCTACAGAAAGTTCTGCACACCGTAACGCTATCAGCAACGCATTTTGCACTCTGTTTACGCCCTACAAAGACTTAACTGAGTAAGAAAAAAAACAAAGCTAAAACTAGTGGCAGAGCTACACGATACGCGCACATCGACACTGTCTGTACTCTACTGATGAGCGTGCTGTTGCCGCTTTGCCGAACAAAGATTTATTGTTGGCCGTCGACTCCCGACTGGACATCGCTGTCAGGGGCAGTGTCGATGTATCGCACACACCTGATCTGGCCCACTGCATCCACCTACTCGTCACTGTTCCATTATAAACATCTTACTCAAACACAAAAGTTTGTCAAAACATTGCACTTCATTTCTTTATTTTGAACCTCGCATCTTCAGAAATTAGCATTTACGTTGATTTTTCTTATCAGCCCCACAAATTTGCTCATTCATATTTACAAAAACCGTATGTCATCTATCCTTTGAAAATTGCTCGTTTTGTGTGGGCTCTTCTATGCATCAAAAGTACAACATGCTTTTTTTCGTCAGAAAAAAAGACTGATTAGCTCGTTCATATCCCATGAGCAACTGTTCAGTTCTTGAGTAAATCTCTTTTTTTTGCTGAGTTTTGCTGTACCGTAAGCTTCAGTCCCTGATCTTTTTTATTCTTGATTTTTGAGCAATCATTGCGAGGTTTTTCTTTTTCTCAGACAGATACCTGTCTTCATTTGTTTGCGGAGGAACCGCAGCTACTATGATCATTCTTTTGCTATTTTCTGCAACGCTTTTAACAAATATTTCTTCCCGATGCAACTGTCTAGAGGGGATGAATAAAAGAAGGAAATCACTTTCGCGGTCAAGATTCCTGCATTTAGTTTCTACTGTGCGTATATTTCGCCAAGGAGAATGGGTCATGATATCTTTCGTAGAGCATCGCTGTCGCTATCGATAATGGCAGACGATCAAAGCGCCTGCTAGCGTGCTCAGTCCTTAGGCTCTTCTGATCTCTCATAAGTTAGTATAACGCTGCCGTTCTTTCGCCCCTTTGCACTAGTACACGTGATGTACTAACAAGCTATCTTCGAGAACTTTTGAATGATTGTAAGATACTCAGTCTCGTATCGACAACCGCCGATCTGGTGGCCAGACAATCCCTTCGCTTCTCGGCGAATCTTCGCCGTCTCGTCTCCGTTCTCGACCCACCTTCCGACACTGCTTGTTAGCGACTATCATGGTGTGTGTGTATTTGTAGTGATTGATACGGCAGCTGAGAGCCGTCGGCCGCTCACCTTTGTATCAGTTCGATTGAATGTTTAACCGCAAGGTGTTTACTATTTGTAAAGCGAAAGCAGGTAGAGGGTAACCTGTGCACGATGTCTGTACGGTTAGTTCATCCTTATCACAAACACAGCTCCCAGTAACGCCTAGGTTGACAGCTTCTCATTAAACTCTTAGAGTGCTAACCGTCACATGCTTTCCAGCATGTTTTTCACGCATTCATTCGCTGTTGTCGGTCTTAGCATTTGCTTTGCACGCTATCAGCACAATGATAGTGTTTATTCAACATAGTGCTACTATTTCTCACCTTCTCTTGTAACCTCTTAATAGAAAAACATAAGAGTTCATCTTTTGGGCGCTGTTCATACCTATTCTTTGATACAATAATGTTTGTGAAAGTGCTCCTCAAACATGTATTTTTTTGTTCTAGCTTACCCACATCACTGCTGAAATATTACTGCTAAACGAACCACCCTATTTTTACAAACGCTTAGACAATAACATATACAGATGATCTTATTTTGTCCCTAGCTCAATACGGAGAATACGTCGTTCAATCTTCTTTATTTGTGAGCTTCTATTGGATAGACCGCACAGATAGGAAATGTTGGCAATGAAAATAAAAATACTAAGTTTATAGTAATTTGATTATTTCACAATCAGCAATTAAATTTAAATCATTTAAAATTTTTATAATAAAAATAAAATTACTAAGTTTGTAGTAATTTGATTATCTTATCAGTAATCAAATCAAAATTATATTAGAAAGTCTCTTCTAAAAGATGAGCTTCGGGATGACTTGTTCACACAAACAGCGACGAAGGAAGTGGAAGGTCTGCATTCCCAGACGATCTTCTTTCTCAAGGAAAGCGCTTCTTTTGCGACTCAAAAGGAATCAGCTGGGACTTTCTTTAGTATTCAGACAACGCTATTGTTTACCTCTCGAGTTTGGAAGTTTTAGGCGGAAATAGCGCATCATCCAGAAGCAATGTTTACCTTGCGCGCACGGGTTAAGAGATCCCGTCCATGTGACGCCACACCCACTTTTTCTTTGAAAATATGGGGTTTTTAGCGTTGTACCCTGACATTTAGTTTACCTACCCCAAAGAAGTTTCGAGTTATCGCAACAAATTACTGTAATACTATGCGCTATGTTTTGCTTCTTCAATATCAATAGGAGCGGAACGGGAAATGTTACTGCTAACGGATCGGCGCATATTGATTGTAAGTGATATTTGGAAATGAACAGAATGTCATGTCCAACGGCGCTGACCGTTTGCAGCCGGGGGAAAAACCCCTGGTTTACAGCGATTTTGTTGACACTGGAAAAGTGTGTGGTTAGTTTTTTTTTTGCGATAGGTCAGATTCACATGCTATTCACGCCGTCCTAGACCATCCTGCTGTTATCGAATCCGTGAATTTCGTAAAAAAAATCGCACACCACTCACTAGTTGCAATTCTGTGAACGGAGGCGGTGCTTAGGTCTGCTCTTATCGAACATTCAACACTGCACCAGCAACAATGTGGCTCTCTTTAACTTCTAATTGGTTTCTGAGCGCGGATTTCAACTTACATACATTCGAACTTGTAACTCATGTTTCCGCGCTAGTTGTCGCCATTCTAATGCTGGATACTCAGATTAGGCGGAAGTTTTTCGTGACCAACACTTTCCTATAAAAACAAGATTAAGTTAGTTATGATAATACTTTCGTTTACCCACCCTCGCTGATCGTATCTGCTGTTGTTATTGCTATAAGACAGTGTCGTAATCTTGCTATCAAATTTCCGCTTTTTTCTATATACTCAGCACTTATAGTCTGTTTAATCACACATTCACTTCATGTTGATATTTGTCGAGTTTTTCGAAAGCTTCTGCCTGTCATCGCATTGTATACAGTGATTAGGAGACGGATTGTTTGTATTAGTGGATGACGGCAGTGATAGATGATTTATGAGCGGCGCAATGTGGAGAAAAGAACTTGTTCTTAGAAAGGTCGAAACTCGATCTTTTTCTCTGTCTGTTGCTGCACGGTTGAGGTAGCTTTTCATATGATCTTTAAGTGCAAATAGAGGTCCTAAAAGAAGGCAAAAGTGAATAGTGGGTGTTCTCTTTACTTCCAAATATAATTTATTATTTGTAGACTCGAAGTATCGCTGTTATTCACTTCTGCTATCGTATTTTTCCTTTACCTTTTTCAGTAAGGTCAGTTCGGCTGAAAAATGTCGAAAACATGACCCGCCTCGAGTAAAGAAAAAATTCTATCAAACTTTCCCACAACATTCCTCATCACTCTAGATTCTATATTTACTCATATGATCGTAAGTATGATCTTGCTGCTCCACGTACTTTTTTAACTTTTGTTTTCGATTAAATTTGCTAGCAATAAATCTACCCATCCCTCGAGCTCAACTACCCTTCACTCCTGTTTTTCGCACCAGTTCTGCCAGGAATACCTCAAAAGTGCGGAATATATGTCAAGTAACAACTGCAGCAGTGTTTTTGTAAGAATAAAAAAAACCTAGGAGTGCTGATGGCAGCGCTTTGCTTCCGTAAAGTGTGCGAGCGGTGCGGTCTCGTTTTTATAGTCGTCTGATAACCTCTCGCCTATCTTAATCACATTATCGCATCGACGCCTATGTTTTCCAACTTTAGCGATCAAGTCTGACATGCTCACACTCTTTCCTTCTACTCTCTCCTTTCTCGCACACACACACTTTTCAAGGAGAGCCTTGCACTTTCAGTGAATGACCCAATATGAGCAAGTGGTTTTTAGCAGTACACTTTTCTGGCGCAGGTTATCCGGCAAGTGCAGCGCGCCTAGCCTGAGCGCTGATTGATTTCCTCGATGGCAGCCTGCGGGTTCTGTCGTCTGCGAGATCTGCGGACCCACCAGCAGCAGACCAGAGAGAGTGTAATCTCCCTCACCTTGCCTGCATGAGTGTCGTCTGTTGTTCGTCTGTGTGTGTGTTTTGTATGTTTGGGGGACCATTATCTTTTCTTGCGTATCTCATCGTGCCGCGGACTGATTCTACTCGATCGCTTATCACGAATTCTTCTTTTATAGTGCAGGCAGGCGATGGTAGGAGAGAAAGAATGGGAGACGTGCTACCACTCGACACCCGCCGGTTACTTCACCGGCTGCCGCCGAGCTGCCAGTTTTCCTTTCTTTGGGGATCACTCAGCGCTGGTGCCTAGCAGCGCATTAAAGGTCTGAGCCAATCTTTGAAGGCATTCATCCCAGCTTCTTGATCTTAATCTGCTTTAGGTACGGTCTCAGAGCGAATCTGAGGGCCTCAACAAAATACGCTTCAGCCAGATAAATTTGGACGCTCTTCGCCCACGCCCGCGGGAGATCGTTGAAGAATGCGGTATGTGGCCTTTTTTTCGTTTCGACAAATCAAATATGAATTCTACTGTACACATTTTTGCTGTCATATTTTCAATCACCACGAAATTTGGAAGAGATCCCACAAGTTCTTATCTGACCGTGCTCCAAAAACAGATGGGCAATCTTTCAATAACAAAGCTTTTCTTCACTTTGTGTAAAATTCTTTTATCTTGATGTCTTCAAGAGAACACTTTTTTCTCTTTGCATCAATTTTTTTCTCTGCGAACGGAAATTTTCTGCAGTTATTCTCGTAGAAGAGATAGAGACAAATTTTTGCAGCCACCGTTTAATGTATCAACACGCTGTGCAACAATCAGAAAACGAATACTTGTCTTCTTCCACAAAACACCTATTAATCTCGTAATGCCCACTCAGGGCGAAAGAAAAACCTCTATGTTTGTTGGTCTCGAAGGCAGCCATGCCCTATACAAACAGTTTCTTCGTTGTTGCCAGATTTCAACTAAAATACGTGCAAGTAAATGTTGTCAGCTTGAAAATCACATTGATTTGTGAAGAATCCCCTAAAAACCTTCTGCATGTTGTATTTGTCGGTGGAGTTTACTGCACACCATGGCAATCAGTCGCGATCTTCCGCCTCCAGTAAATGATCACAGGACAGCTTTCAGATGAAGCAAGTGACTGTGAATCAGACTCCAGTTCATCCACCTCCGAAGAACCTGATGCTACTGCTGGAGAGACGCTGGAGCAGATGGTTGAGGTTGGTTTGCAGACTAGGGGGCATCTCTGTAATACTTCAAGTCAAAAGAAATTGTCTTTGTCTATTTCAGCTGCCTTGTAAAACCCCAAAATCGGTCCGTTTCGCTGACGACTGCGGTAAGGAGTTGTATTCGGTAAGGGTCATGACCGAGCCCAGTGACTACCCGCCTCAAATCAACCCTAATGTACTAAGGAAACTCAGAGGTAAAGCCATCGAAACAAATTATGCCATCAACATAGGTAATCAATTTCTTAGGTGATAACTACGTTGAGGATACGCCTAGCAAAGATCCGTTACCAACGTGGAATTTACTTTTCAAACAACCAGCCAGCGAATATGTGCGATTCCGAGAAACGTTGGAAAAGGTGCACTTTCTAATCTGGCTTCAATCATTTACTCCCTTGCAGTCAATCACTTGTGACAAATTTGCTGTTATTGACTAGCGATTACTGAAGCACATACTCATCAATGATCTTTAGGATCGAGTTTCGCTGGAAAATGTTGTACTGAAGCCCGACTCAACAAAAATGGTTGGCACCATCAAGGTGAGAAGAAATTCGGTAAATTTTTTTTGATGAAGTTGACGTCCTTCGACCAAAGAACAAGCATCAGGAAGAACATTTTGCAACTGATACTCACCACATATTTGCGCACCTTTGCATTATCGCATCAGAGCGGCAGCAATGTAGACGGTGGTGTAAAGTCGCAGAAACCAAACATAAATCCAGATTAGTCGACTTTCAATTCAAGGCTATTTTCGAATGGCTGGCGTTCGGTATGTGGCCCTTAATTGAAGGATGGATGATGTCTTAATTGTAGATACCGTATAAAAGGCAACAATCGGCTTTTGACTGTCTCAAATGGAACAACGCCGCGAAATTTAAATGCGTAAAAAATTTTGCATTTGTCCTAGTTCAAATTTTCCCTTTGTAATTAGCCGCACTGTTATAACATGCGTCATAAATTAAAAATGATATTCCTGCGCTCAAATTGAACGAGTCAAGTTCAATTGTATGTGAAAGATCCTCAAACTTCGATGGCATATATTTCAAATATAGAAAACGTTTTTGTAAGTTCATTTCACAGCTCCTAGATTCTCTTCCTGAACCTCGTTTAAAGTGTGAGAATCTCCTTCCCTAATGATGTGCATCGTGTTGAATGCCGAGCATTTGATTAGCTTTGCAGTGCCACTAAGCTTTGCTCTTCGCTAGCTTCCGGCAAGAAGCTTAGAAGAAGATAGAAATAATTGAGAGTGTAAACTAATCCAAATCCTTCATTAATTCCTGGATGCCATAAGAATGAAGTAAACAACATTTTCCAGCAAAGCTGCTAAAGAAATTCAAAATGAAAAGGGCATCATGTCAGTTCAAGATCTCATGATAGAATTTTTTGTCTCTTTTTGTCGAACTGTAATTTGATGTAGCACTTTCCGCTTTCCGGATACGTGAAATTTTGAAACTACTTGTAAGAAGATATCCTTTAGCCCCACAATTCTGCAAAATCTGCTAATCCATGAAATCAATCACTCTTCTTTGTTCTACTTTCGCTTCTGTTATCGTAAAAAAAAACGCAGTGCAGTAGCTTCAAATAAAAGCGCAATGTTGTTTCCCTACAAAATCAGTTGTTCTGCAGCTGTTCTAGACAACAACAGCTGTTTTACCATTTCAATGGCTATGTCTGCAAAGATTTTGATCTCAAAACTCTTGCAAATCATTTTTTGCAGTTGACTGATGTGATAGAGTTATCTGAATACTTCTGTATCAGAACAAACTGAACACTTCCTCATCAAAACAAATGTAAAACCAATGCAGTAATGATTGGGATTCTAATGAGAAAAGTGGTTTGCCATAAAGAAATGCTAGCTTATTAATTGATGAGCTTTAGCATGTTTGCACCAATTTCAAAGTGTGATTTTTCAGGTTGCGAATATTGCATTTGAGAAGAAAGTGTTCGTAAGGTACACTACCAACAACTGGCATTCATACATGGATCGCCAAGCGACGTTCCAGCCATCCACCAGCAAAGTTTATGACACCTTCACTTTCGAAATTGAACTGCCTGGGCCAACAGATAAGGTAAGTAGGGTCTTATCATAATGATCATAGATTAGCCACGGTAAACAGTAAACAAATCAGGCAAGAAAGTAGATGTACTGTCGCATCTTTTACTGCAGAAGTAAAGACTTGTGCACTGGTCTCATTTCGTAAATACTTTTGTAAACTACAGAACCGCTCCTAAGTTGTGAAAAAAAAATCACCGCACTCCGCCGGAGTTCGCCGAGCTCGCGTTGCCTCGCCATATCTTGCTTCAGAGTGAACGAATTCCGATCCCAAAAGCACCATTCAATTCAGCACAATGAGATAGATCTTTTGATGTACAAAAATACCTGTTTGAGCCCGATATTCGGTTTTAGAGTCCTTCCAGATTCTTGCTCAAGCTGGGTTACTCAGAGTGTTTAATCATTGCACAACGATCAACCTACAGTAAACAAAATTCTGACCAGAATTTCTCCATTCTAAGCAAGATATGGCGATGTAATGCGAAATTCGGCGAATCCGGCCGAGTGCTGTAATTTCCCCAAATTACGAACGGTGTTGTATTCGAAGACAAAAATCTCAGACCTGATAGCAGAGTGCGCTTAAAAAGTGACGTCATCCAAGTCTCATAGCCTCACGTCATTATGCGCCTATTTTTCTGGAAATAAGCGCTTTACAATGTTTTCCGAAATTTGCCAAGTCTTAGTCCAAAAATCGAGTTTGCAATGCTGCGTGTTTGTTATAGTGCCTAAATTTATTGCACTTCTTCACATAAAAGACCGTTCTCTCAGCATCAGTCAACATGCCAGAAGAATTACGATTTGCATCTTGTCATGTACGAAATTTGTAATTCCAGGCTAAACGAATGGAATTCTGCATATGCTACATCGCTAATGGTTGCGAGAATTGGGATTCAAATGGTGGTGAAAATTACAAACTAGAGCATAGTGACGTAAATGTAGTATCACCTAGAAGAACTGTACCTCCACTATTTGGAAGGTGAGTGTTTCACGTTTTCTTTTGCAAACAAATTTTAAATAAATTATTCCAGTTTTTTGGTGCTGTTGCGCCTTATCGATCTCTCGCGCATGAATTTCATTGCGATTTCATAATAAATAAAAATAATATTCTCACTCAGAAGTTTCGGTAAATGCGAAAATTTTATGCTAATTCTGCAACAAATGAGCATGCACTGTATATTTCACCTTTTCCCTCAAGAGAATTTCTCTAAAAAGAATTACTTAGATAATTCAAGCTGCAACTCAATCGAGTAAGTAATTTTTTCTTAGCTGTTCCTGTTCAGCCTCAAATACTTGGAGCGTGACGACGCCTACAGCCTAAATCACACGAACTGGGGGCAGTTTGCCTCATGGAAGACTTTGAGTACCGATGGTCCGTACTGGTAGAAGAACTGGTGTTGAATTTCCCGTTGAAACAATGAAATTCCTGGCTTGCATCGCATTGACTACAACTATCCAGAGCATTTTCATTATTATTTTTCTCCTAAACACGGATTTATTGAAAACTTCTTCTCCAGTGATCCGAATCTAATCTACTACATTTTTTTGTCTTAACGATTGTGTATCTACTATATCCGAATGCGTGTATTTACATCCCATCTTCTGCACACATTGAGGTGTTGAGAGATTGTTCTTGCCATATTCATCGAATAGGGTACAAATATCGGGATAGATAGTGTTTCTCCTTTTATATCTCCTATCGTTGATGAATTTCGCATTCATTACAGTGATTATTAGTTTGTAGAGCAGATTCCAAGTACCTGAGATGATATACGGATTTTCGACCATTAGTCGAATGGTTATGTTATTGATTGTGGGTTTTGTGTAACGTTTGCATGTCCCCCTTTTCCAAATTCTCGTTTGCCTACCCTAATCACTAGTCATTTATGTATGTTATCTATAGAAATTGAGTATAGATACTGTGAGAGGGACGTTTCGGCCCTCACTTGACATTGCCATCGTTCCTCACTCGCCATCGTTCGCTCGCCCTCGCTTTCCCGCTCAATTAGTATAGCCAGGCGCAGGCGATCAGAATTCGCTCCGCAATTGCTACAAAACCCCAATGCCTGCTCAATCGGAAGACCGCGCGGGTCAACCCTCCAAGCTCAACAAACTCAAGATTCGAGAACGCCTTACGAGAGTTGTTATGATCATGTCCATTTGTCCTTTATAATAAGTGTTCTATTTCTGTATGATTGTCAGAATATGTTGTCATAGTTTGTAAGTGATCGAATCTGAGAGATGAATATTCGCATCAAATGCGTTGTATTGACTGTATGTGTGTGTGTGCTCTGAAGTGGACTCTGAGAGTTGGCAGCACATCAATTAAAGTTCTCTCCAAAATACGCGTAGCTCTTAGATTCTGCATTGTAGTGAATTTAAGCGGCTTTATAATCATGTATGTAGACGGCATCGATGCATCGATCGTAATGAAGATTCAACAATTTTGATGTGTTTTTTGTTTTGCCGTCTCAAATTTTGCCGACGATGTTGTACCTAGTTTGAGAGTTTTGGAAACTCTGATCACTTCCAGAAGCTAATTATTGTATCCTCACACAGTCAAAAATCAGCAAGATGCATTTCTGAAAGAAAAATGAAAGCAAATTTGAAATTTTGACAAGGATGTAGCAGTTTATTTGATTTTAATGGTTACGCACTTCACCTTCAAAATGATTTCTCCCATAGAAAAGCAAACTGTCGAGTATATGCTTTGATTGACTCTGCCACTTACGTATCTCGTTTGAGATCTGAAATCTAAAAGAAGTAATCATTACTTACGCAGTCACTTAATGTTGGACCTAGCAAAATGTCTACTGCTTTCCTACGTACCTATTATAAACAAAGTCAATTAACAAACAACTAAATTACCTGAGCAGTTGTTCAATAAACCTGGTGGGATTTTCCAGAACGTTATTTGAGGATTACAAATAGTTTATTTTGTCGGTTCTCGTTACGCAACAGCAGTCACTACTTGCAGAATTTGAAATGTTGAAAATACGAATCTTTTTCAACCTTCATGATTTTGATTTGAGTTTGGCTGAAGAAAAACGCGCAATTTCTCATAAACGTCAGTGCTGAGGCTTTTACCTAGCTGCTTATGAAGCCGAAAATATAGTAGAGAGCATGGATATCAGAGCTAACCAAATTTTAATCAATCTGGACAATGTGCAGAATTTATATTTCGACCCAATCATGTTTCATGGTTATTGATCGAATGTAATGGAAATTTTCCATAAAATGACACACGTGCCACTTTACATTACAGATGCTTTCTATTAGGCATTATGGAATGATTTATAAAAAATTGTTGGAACGTCTCCATTTCCTACGAATTCGACGAGTTTGATATATTTTGGGAAAGGCACTCATGTATCTCCGATGACACCTTGAGCAAAAATTATTTTTTGTATATGGCTGTAATTAAGCAAAAGCTTCGAATCGCGAAAGAAAACTCGTCGCAAAAAGTGCTAAAAAGTGCAGTAAAGTAAACATTGACAACGATATGAGAATAATTTTTTTAGAAGAGAGGATATACTGACCAAATGTGTTTACAAACAAACATTCTTGAGTGTTATTTTGTATTATTGACCGAGATTGTTAAGCCTTTTGTTGGCATACGTTTCGGCGACTTCGCGTTCGTCAGAGCCTAAATTGAAAGATATTCAATTCGCAAACTACCGCATACTCTATAGAAACATCGTTAAATAGAAGTATGGTTATGACCATTTTTAGAAGCTACCATTTTGTATTCATAATCTGAGATAAAAACCATTGATATGCATTTTGTAAGAAAAAAAATGAAAATGAAGTTTGATAGTTGTCAGCTCTCTATTGAAAGTCTGAAATTGTCAAGGTTTCAAAAATTTTTACAAGGATGTAGCAGTTTGGGTGATTTATTGTAATCAGCCGAAACATAAGAAAATAAAAGGTTTCTAACAATCTTGGTTGTGGCTCAACAATACAAAATAACACTCAATTACGTATGAAAGGTTTGAAGAACGTCGAACATTTGGAACATTTTTGAATTTTTTTCAGTGTTTCTTCTCGATCTAGATGTAATACGAGATATAAAGGTGTCTCAAAAAATGTGCGCATTGTTTAGTCGTTAATAACTCCGTTGCTTTCATGTCTTTCGCCGAGTTTGAGACACCATTTTATAAAGCGAGGTTCAACTTAGATCCACAGTATGGAGCGAATCATCGATCGCTCTTCATTACTGTAGGATTACGGTAGGGATTTCGACAAGGATTTTAGGCCGTTAGAGGCCATATTCTGCCTTGGGACAAAACCAAACAAGCCGAAAACTCTTATTTTATGGTAGTGGAAGCCGCTGAGTCCGAATGTGAAGTTTGCACCTTACTCTGATGCTTCTTTCCAAGGTTAACCCCCAGCTAAACCGTAATAATGAATTTCGAGCATTTGTCAGAAACGTGACTACACCGTCAAAAAAGCTAAAAACACTCGTAAAAATTGTGTAATGGAATTAGCGTGTGCGAAAACCCTAGTAAACAATTTTTCAAATGTCTTGAAAAAAAATTTGTAAAATGGCATATCTCACAATAGGTCCATGTGCTAGAAGTTCATACCGTAATGCTACAGTAACGAACAGCGATCGGTGGTCCGCTCCATACTGCGAATCTAAGTTGAAGCTTTCTCTACAGAATGGTGCCTCAAGCTTGGCGAAAGACATGAAAGCAACGGAGTCATTAACGATCAAGCAGTGTTCACATTTATTTGGGACACCCTGTATTACGGTGATCGGTAAAAAATGGGGCACCTAGAGAATAACTGTAGATTTCTCAAAAAAGGAAAGTGATTGAACTTCCCAATTTTGATAGATGTTAGAATAAAGTTGTTGATGTTAATAATATTAGAATGAATTGTTCTTAGAAAACACCTATATATAGTCATTTACATACCTAATAATTTTTATAGTGGCTTAAATGCAAAGTTAGTCACTTTGACAAATTATAAATTTCGGGCAGTATCTGCGCAGTGAATCATGTGAGACCACCCAAAGCACCACTTTTGGAGTGGGTAGTGAGACAGTCACCAAACCCACGACGGCTTGGTGGCCTCAAAGTCAGGGGATATGGCCATTGGCAGCTTCGAGAACAAAGATACGCGTTATTCAATTCTTTGAAGATATACGCATGTTTTCTAGGTACCACCTGATAGATCTTTTTACGCTCTATTCATCCATATGCAGGTTACCTCAGACTTTATCTATCTTCGAAAAATACAGATTGAAACTTGATTTATTGGTTTTTGTTGGGTCAAAAAATCGCAATTTTTCAGGTATTTTGCTTTTTCATCCAGAAATAGGAAGAAATTATGTATGTTCAATATATGTTTGAAAGAGCATGAAGAGCTCTTTCGAATGATATATCAATTGCTCTATAACCTTACGGTATGGCAGCGCAAGAATGGGCGATCTTCAAAAAACCCCGTTCGAGTTCTTCAAGGCGCCACGCGTAGGGTTGTGGAGAGGAGCGTTGACGCTTTGCCAGAATAATAAGCGAAGGTCGCTTATATGAGCGACGTTTACGTTGCAGCCTGCTTGTTGTAGGTCGAAAAAAAAAATCTCAAAATCTAATAAAAACCAAGCTGCCCCATTTTTTACCGATTACCCTAATAGAACAAAATGCAAAGTATAATCACATATCATGCGACTACCATCAAAGGTCTAGGTCCAGGAAAATAGTTGTAAACAGTGTTGTGAATATATCAGATGGAATACTAGTAAAGAAACATCTAGTTTGAGGTATATATTCATCTGCCTACACTAAATGTTCTCCATTTGGCACAAAAAAGCCCATTCACATATGAAGGTGAAGCATCATGACAGACATATGAAAGCTGTCCTTCTAAGCATAGTTTCAGAAGAAAAGAGTAAACTGCACTGAGGTGAACCTGTCGTTGATCTCTGCACGGGAGTTGATGGTCCTAGAAAGTCGATTTATTTGGAAGGATTTATTTCTCCGCAAAGAGCTTTCCTTAGGACTCGGTGAGGGGGTTTTTTTTTCATGGCAAAGTGCTCCTACTCATTTTGCGCAGTTATCCTCCACGGACATCTAATGATGCCTGGAAGGTGGGAAATGGAGGTAATATGTAGCAATATTCACGAGGTCGACCAAAAATCTTGTGGTATTTCATTTGGCAAACCCGTACTAATATTCCCGGGAAGAGTTTCGTTAACATACAGTCATCCCTCCCCTTATTCTCCCTATCTAATATCTCGCTTACGCACTTAGTGCTACTCGAGTCAAATGACTCCTCACCGATCTTTAAAAAAGGTTTGCGGCAATGCCGATCCACAAATTAGCATTAGGTTGCGCGAGCACAGGTCTACCTCTTGGTCTTTATTCTGGTGGCTCTACCAAAGCTAGTCTTGTGAATGACTCCCGTCTCCTGTGTCCACACTATCGTAGTCCCCTTTTCTCATCTTCTGTGGCCGTATCATCAACGAACCCTGAGGGTTAAACTAACCCTGGAGGATAAGTTTTCACCCTCAGGGTTCATTGGCCGTATTCATCAACATAGGGTAGGGTTTACAACGGAACGCAATCCACCCGTATCGATCAACGAACCTGTGGTCGTATTCCGAACCCTGAGGGTTAAACTAACCCTGGAGGGTTAAGGCGTCAGTTACGCGTGTGCTGTGCAAACTCACATCAAAGAATGCCTAAGTAAGTGCTAAATCCACTTTATACTTCTATTCTTTCACTGTTATAGTAGTATAATCAACGAATAAGATTCTAACACTAGTTTTGTAATACATCTCTAGCATATTTGTGCAGCATCCAATTTTACAGCGTGAGTTTATTTTCATGTGTGCAATCGTGCCGTGTAAGTTCTACTTTTGCGCAGTTCGCTTTATACCGGGCTTATGCTACTCTTTTAAGGGTCAATGCTTGTATCATGAAGGACTTCTTCTGTTTTGGCACTTGTCAGAGTGGAATGCGCAACCATTTTTCCTCGTTGTATTCATTTGTCACCAAATAGAATTCTTTTTCTCGCAAAGTCAGTGTACTTTGAATTTGAACATAAACCGAAGTCGAAACTAAATACTATAACAACAACTAACACTAAATATTACAACACTTGTTGATCGTTTTCCATAAAACTATTAGATGCGAGTA